ACAATAACAATAACAATAACAATAACAATAATAATAATAATAATCTGGCAATAATAAAAAGAAGAAATGATAACAATGGTACGACTTGTAGAAATGATAGCAATATTTTAATGGAATTGTTAGTGTCATTTATCATGTACCATCGGTTTTTTATACATGCGCATCTGACATTTTATCATAAATGGTATCAATATCGATTCCTTCATTATTATGGAATATATAATATAATATAAAAATGGCAACCATGTTGAAGAAATAAATTATCTGAAACGATGCTTACTGAATTTGGCACTAGTGATCTAATATCATTTCATAATTGCGGTAATATAGTAGTGTATTAGAAATCATTGTTTACTCCGAAAAATTATGATCAATAATTAAGATGGTATTAAAATTTTAATGAATAATAAAAATTTCTAACAAACATTATTAAAATGTCTCAATTTGAATTATTTTTTTTTTTTGTCTTCTTTCCTTACATTTAAAATTCCATTGAAAATTTAGCAATGAAAAAGATGAAAGTTCCATATGCTCGTATAGAAATAGAAAATACGTCAGGAAATCTTCTCTTCCTTGCTCTTTGTGTCTATTGCCCCATCAAATACCGTACCAATAAGTGTCCTTGAACGGCAGAAACGATTCAATCCCACTGCCCACATTCCATTCCTAATCATGATCACTAAACGCATCGAGTAAATAGCTTTAGTTACATTTCATCGTCAAAGGTAATTTTCACCCCATCTAACCAACATCACTAAATTGACCCGATTGATTCCGGATACCATAAAGTGTTGCTATCTGTAATTTCCCAAAAGATCACTTCATTTTCATATTATATTGACTCAATAAAATTCTTGAAAAATCAATTTCAGACAGCATTTCAAAAATTTTTTTTGTTGAAATTGGTATGATTTCTAATTTGGATTCTTTTCTTTAGTTAGAAGAAAATATAAAAGTACAGCCGTAAAGGCGGATTTCGCATGATTTCTGCAACATTTTGACAAGACTATTTGCAGAAATTTGTGAAATTCTTGAGCTAATCCTAATCCTAACCGCACACATCCATGTTCAGCTTTCTATTTTTTTTTCTTCTTTTTTTTTCATTTATTGTTTTTGATAAATGGCAACAAAAAACCCGAATGCTAAAACTATTGAATGAGTAAGAATGACAACTTTTCATTTTTCTGCTCATTTGATTGCTAAGAGCACTATTTTTTTTCAACACTTTTTTGTGGCGTACAGCACTATTCACGAAGCTCTACAAAATATTATTTAAACTGTTCCTGTTATTCTTACGCTTTTTTTCGCTGCAGTTTTCAATTTCTTTTTATAATTTTCGAAAGCGAAATGAATAAAGAAAGAAATAATTTATCAAAAAAAACTTTACATCCAGAAGTTTAATAAATGAGTTTGATACAAACATCATAAAATCAAATTTTTCTGCACTGATCCCTTCAACCTCGCTGGATCATTCATTTCCACATCTTTTAGTGGCTGATGAAGTCGTGCAGCCAACTAAAAATTAACAATTTTTATGAAAAAAGAAATAGTCTTCAGTAAACGAAATTACTAAAATCTACACATCCCATAATTACTTATAAATCAAACTCTCTGAAGAGAAAAAAAATCCTTTCTTTCTTCAGTTATTTAAGTTCGGGAAATATTTAATTTCATTTCATGCAAAAACAAAACATATCAAAAGTAACCCAAAAATAATGGTAATAAAGTACAGAAATGGTAATAAAGAACTATATAGGAAAAAAATTTCATTATTTTCTATAATTATTTCAGTTTGTTGAAGAATGATCTGAGCAACTTACTTACTAATCGATTGTGGGAAAAGTCAAACTATGCGCAAAAATAAAAACCTTTTTATTCTGTCATTTAAGAATATTATCGAAAAGAATGAAATTTTTTCCTATATAGTTCTTGCTAATTATAGGAAAAACCAACTTCAATGGAATTCACATGCTTTACTTCCCAAGCTCGTCGGACAAATGATGTTATCAAACATTTATGCAAACTCCCAATGCGACCAATTCGACCGCATCGATGAATATAATCCGAAATTTGCCGTGGAAAATCGTAATTAATAATATGCCTCAATTGAGGAAGATCTAAACCCCTGAAATTTTCAAAAAAGAGTAAAACTCCCCAATAAATTTAAAAATAACAAAAGTTTACAAGGTAGAAGAAGTTTTCTTTTATTGAAACATTTCATATATTTCCTTTAATAAAACTTTTCAAAGGCATATTCAAGGATTTCGACGTTACTATAGCTTCTAAATGGATTTTGAACTAATGCATTTAGAAGCAAACTTGCAAACAGCAACTTTACATTCCGTATCCTACCTAAATATCACACCACCGCATGTGTAGTCAAAAATATTTCAAGTTCAAAAACACCTGCTAGCAACATCCGTTGCTATGATAATACGCACAGTGCCACTGCATAACTCATCAATTATCCTTTCATTTCGACAACCACCACTCAGAATAGTATGTTCAATGCCTACTTCCCTTAATGACTTTGATACCAAGTTTACATTTTTTAAATCCTGCAACAGAAAATCTCTAATATTTTGCAAGAAACCGTGGGATGATATTTATTATATTAAGTGTAGATTTAATGTACCAAAATGCAACATTATGAAAATTAGCTATTAGAAAAATAGCAAGTTTAGATATTGAAGACTTTTAAGAAAAAAAAAAATAATATATAACGGAAAATCTAACCTTGCAAAAGATTAAAGTCTGGCCGCTCAGAAAAGAGAGTCCTTTTTGGAGTAACTCTTGCAATTTCTCTAGTTTATCAATTTCTCTGATTCTGATGAAAGTTTGCTTTATATGAGGCATAATACGATGCAAGTTCTCAGTTTTGACACAATACAAATGTTCATGATCGACTATACTCTCGGCAATGCATTGCAACTGATCCGGATATGTAGCGGATGAGAAAATCAAGCGTACACCATCTCAAAATTTGTCAAACGGTAGTTTTTTTTCATAAAATGACTATTTAAAAAACTCAAAATTTTGAAAAAAACGACAAAATAATGTTGTAATATTTTCAATAGTACTTAGATATTTCAGTTGAAAAGGAAATGAAGAAAAAATATACATTTACTCTAAGAAAGCACATCATAATGCATTAAATGCGTATCATATGAGAGCGTATGGTATGCATGTAATGTATTATGATATGCTTTTTTTACAATCTAAATTATTCTTAATCATAATAATCAAGAATAAAATGATACGTTCTTTATTTTGTTTCTTAAAAATATTACAGATCTTCAAAAGCAACTTCGAACCTTTAGAATTCTTATCGTCCACCGAGTGTCGTATTTTAAGAGGACGAAGCAATCCAACAATACTATCCAAAAAACTATCATCGAGCAACATATCGGCTTCATCCAAAACAATGTAATCAATATTGAAAGATGCGAAAAATTCAGGAGAAAAGCTGGGTGTACTAACAAGGATATTCCAATCCTGCAATCATAAAGAATAAAGCTCGTATTTTGGTTTTAACAATCGCAAAATTATTTGACGATATTTTCTTACATTAGATCAAAAAATTATTTCCTTCATTTATTTTTCAAATATGGAACTATGAGGGATTATTTTTTCCTATTTGCAAATTTTTAAGGTATACCTCTTGGCTGCTCAATTTCTCGCTTTGCCATTTCTCGCCATCTCCAATGACTTTAATATCAGTACCTTCGGCAAGTTTGCTGATCATTAGCGAAGTTTGCATCCGCAACGCATGTGTAGGAACTAGCACAATGCCTATAAGAATTAAAAGCTAAACAAAATTTCTCTTAATAAATTTATTTTTTTTAAAACGAAAAACAACAATGATGACAATTAAACAGTCGAACTGAACAACCTTTTGCATGTCGATCCATATTTTGCAATAGAACAGACAACAATGGCGCAGCATATGCTGCTGTTTTGCCTGAACCTGTTTCAGCAGTTATAAGAAGGTGTGCATCACCTTTGAAGGCTCGGAATGCTCGACGCTTTAAATTTATAAAAAATCAATTTTATTATAATGAGAAAAAAACTGTCAAAAGCTTTATCTGTAGTAATGTTTCTAAATAACTCCAAAAAAATCTTGAAATCGAATTGCCGGACTAAGGTGGTTATAAAATAAACCTGTATGATCGTTGGCACGCGAAAGCCGAGTTTTCGGGCATTCTCAATGACTACTGAATCAAGTAGGCCTACATTTTCATCCCAAGAAAACGATTCATCACGGTTGAATGATGGATTCTAAAAAGTGAGTGATTCGTAAATCTTCAACATTCATAAAGATATAATGTAAAATAATCATCAGTGACAATAGAACGTTTCTCCCTGGAATCACCGTTTTAGAAAATGACTAAGTGATGAAGTTCGACGAATAGGGATAACTTCTTATGTGAATTATACATAGGCAACTCATTTGTTCATGTACTATGAAAAATTAAAATAATTAGAGAAATAAAATCAAAGAGATTATGGTACTCCTTATCATTCGCAGTAAGACGATGAAAACAACAGTAAAACAGTATTACTGAACTGTATGCATATAAGTATACCTTTCTCATGACCGGATAAATAGTGAACCAATCATTCTTATACTTGCTTTTTATCCAGTATGTGCTTGCTAACTGTATATCACCAGGAGGATATCGCATACCGTCATAATGATTATATTCTTTTCTAGCACACTCTAAAAATAATGATAAATGAAAATCTTAGGTTGAGAAAGATTGGAAAAGAAGAGAACTTCTACAATAACATCTTAAATTTTGTCCTATAAAACTAGTTCAGATTCTACTGAATTTTCGATTTCGATTCCGTCTTTATGATTATTTTCTGAATCCATAAATTTTCCACTTTGTGAATGTTAGGGAACAAGACTGACTAAAAATAAGGAAACAAGATTTCGCCCTGTTAAACATCATATAGATGCATTTTGACTATCCATATGCTATCGAAAAAACGAACCAATGATAACTTTTGCTGTACTTCGATCTACACCATACAATTTTTCATATTCTTCTTCAGCTTCCTTCTTTTTTCTTAATTTTTTTCGTTGTTTCCGTCCAAATGCTAACGGTTCTGTGATTACAGGCAATTTTCTGAAAGATTTTCAGAATTCACTAGCGCTATCAGATCATACATCCAATTTCGGACATGTTGCAATGACAAACAATCGGATATATAACAAATTTCGTTTTTTGTTAAAAAAAAACCAAAAATCAGTTTAAGATTAAACCAACAAAAAGTAAATATTTCAATACTTGTTATCTTCCTTAAATTTCGATCGCAAGAAACTGGATGTCCAGCCAACATCATCCTCATCTTCTTCCTCTTCGAATATATCGTCAACTTTTTCGAAAGCACCACTATTTTGCTTTAGACCGTGAGGTATTTTGAATGGTAAAAGTTTCTTTTCGAATGAACTCAATGTTCCGAACTGTAAGATAAAAATATACAAAAAATTCTTTTACAGTTAACCAGCAATGTTCAAGAAAATTAATAAAATTTTCTACCGTATCAGCTGGTTTTCTTCGTTCATTTTTCCGATGGATTACCGCATAAGTGTTAACTGACGGTTGATCTTTTGTCGAATTCTTGCTCACTTCAGCGGTGGTTGAATAAAGTCGAGATGTCTGAATAGCAGCAAACTGCGAACATGTTCTCCTCATCTTTCTAAACATTTGTTAATCTATTGACATACTTAATTATTTGTTATACTATTCATTCATTTATTTACTCGTCTATATATTACACACATTGTTAGTTTATTAATCTGTTAATGAGTAAAACTTTAAAATTATATATTTGCTTTTTACAGTTAGTCTCAGGAATCTTTTTTTAAAAGAGGAATTATTTTAAAAACTAAAAATCTTTAGAAATCAAATTAAAGAATTATTTTAAAAACTACATTAAACCAATTGATCTTTTAAATCAATTGATCATTGCTAGATATTTGCACAATATTTATTTTCCGCTTTCGCTTCATATTGATTAAATAATAAAGTAATTACATCGATTTCTAGTTCCTTCTCCTATTTATTCCATTCATTAACATCTTGTACACTTAGTCTTCATCTACATCCTGAATTTAGCTTAATTTAACTCCATAGTTTATTTTTAGTTAGAATTTATCAACCTGAATGTACTTATCAATGAAATTTTACTTTCAAATCCAAAAAAGCACTTAACATCTGTTACGATTTTATTTCAAAAAAAAATTGTTTAGCATAAAATTGGGCACTTAAGTAATTAAAAAAATTACTTGTAATTAAATATACAAAACTAGTCTGGTTACAAAACTATAACTAAAAATATAGCCATTAAACACATTTGGTTAATTAAGTGAAAAATAATTATCTAATTTCTTACAGAGTTAATGTGAAAACTGGCAATTATTCTCTTAGTACTGTCACTCAGAGTTATCAACCTAGGCTGGTAATTTGCCCTCGTCAAAAGACTACTCAAAACTCTCTCCGGCGGAGTAATCCGATCTCATCTGCCTCAAACCCCAGTCCCGAACTCTACCCTGACATCTAGTCCCGAATTCCATCTAAACCGCCGGCCTGCGGAAGCCTTCCTTCTGCCATGATTATTTCTTTCACTTCTCTTCTCACTCCAAGAAAAACACGCTCATTTAAATTCTCGTCATTTCGCGAATTGAATCAGCAATTCAACAGCTATGATCTTAATTTTGCCTTGAGGTATCTAATCTCGAGATTTCTAATCTCAGGTATCATTTGTCGGGATATTGCCGTGGTTCCCAGTATTAATAACTGGTAATTAATTATAAGCTGGTATTAATTTTGAATTTACCCATAGAAGGAGAAATTTAGTTGAAATATTTGAATGATATATCTTTTTTTCCGGAATTATAATAACTTTTATCTGTATTAATATTTGCTTCCTATAATTATAATATACTGATCAGGTAATTGCTTAGAAATAATCCATGTAATAAATATCGATTTGTCTGGGAAATAATGACAAGTAAAAATTTATTTCGCAAAAATGATTTGTGCAATAAGTAATTAAAAGGGCGATTCAAACGGTTGTATGTTTATCAATAATCTGCCTGAGTGTTAGATAATATTAAGATGAATTTGAATGGTAACAATTACGCTGCGCAAAAAAGGTCAACTCGTAAGGTGAAGAAAAAGCTGCGACGATTGCAAAAAGCGAAAAAGTTGAAGCGATATATGATAGATGCGATCAAAGATGTTCGCCTTAGGAAACACGCAAATGCCCGAAAACGAGCAGTTGACGTAAGTGACTATTTCCGCTCATGTTTTAAATGCTGATAAATTGTAAATAGATTATGATAAATGATATGATAAATTGTAAGTAGATTAAGACAAATGATATGATAAATTGTAAGTAGATTAATAGATAGATCAGTAGATTAGTAGATTAGTAAATAGATTAGTAGATTGTAAGTAGATGTAAGTGTGATAAATGATATGATAAATTGTAAGTAGATTTGTTTTAAATAGATGATGTGATAAATTGTAAGTAGATTTATTTTAAAAAATGGTTTTAAGTAGGTAAATATAAGATAAATATAAATGTGTATTGCAAAAAATTTTAATCAACTTTTAAAAAAGTAATAGATGGCAAATCATTCATATTATATTCCACACAATCGACTTGTGAGTGATTTTACTTAGCTTTGAATAGAAGTTAAGTGAGCTATAAATAATTATAACTGGTTGTTAGAATGTTGAAAATAGAATGGTTATTTCTATGAATAATGCTTTATGTTACACACGTTTTTAATCATTATCTGCAATCATGTTGAAAATAGAATGGTTATTTCTATGAATAATGCTTTATGTTACACACGTTTTTAACCATTATCTGCAATCATTAATTTTCCATGTGTTTATTAAGACAATCATGTATACATTGTTTTTTTTTGTGCTTATTGATATTTCAGATAAATACTTTACATTTTAGATTAAGGATGATTGGTATACAGATCGTCAAATTGTGGCGGAAAATGAGGCAGATGATGACATTCTTCCCTTAGATATGCTTGATGCAGATATCGATTGGGAGAACAGTGCATTTGCTTCAAAAATTAGGCGAATTGAAAAAGGTTTGAAATTTAATTGATGTGAGAAAATTTAGTCCTTTTGTATCAGCTATTTCAGTTATTATACGATCACTTGCATAAAACGATATTGTTCGAAATATTTCACATCTCAAGACGTGAAAATACTCTTTTTATATCCTACAGTGATTGGCATCATTTTTAAAGAAAAGAATACAGGAAATGGGAATTATCGATTGAAACATAATTCATTTTTAACGATCCATAATTTTTATCATTTTTCAGTAAAAAATGATGCCGAAATTGATGATATTGAAAGTAAAACACGTAGATTTCCTGGAACATTGGATGATAATATGCGAGAGTTATTGCCAATTAAAGTGGGTACAAAAGTAATAAGACAGACGTGCAAGAAAGATGAGTCTAATGAATCTGGTATGTTTTTAATTTTAATCTTTCTGTAATGTTGATAATTATCAAATTGTAACTATTAATGCCAGCTAAGATTCTGCAAACCTTTCAAAAGAACATTGCTTGTTTATTTCACATTTCCAATTTATTTAGAAGATAAAGACAATCAGGAAGAAGATGAAATTAGTCGAATTGATTTATCTCAGCTGAGTGCAGCAGAATTGTTAAAATTATGTCACAGTCATGTGGAGGAAGCAAAAGGCAGAATTAGCAGTTTAGCCTACTTGATTATCGCAGATCCTCACGCTGAAGTAAAGTTCTACAAAATTGTTGAATTTTCCCCCAAAATGTGTGGTTAAGAGGGAGGGAAGAAATATTCACGCTTTATGCAGTTGAGAAGTTGCTGAATAAAAGACAGCATATATTACATAGTGTGAATGATGGAAGTTGAAGTTTTTTTTTTTTTTTTTGAAAGTATAATTTATTAAAGCTCCGTAATCCAGAAATGTAAAAGCTTCTTTTAAGATTTTACATTCTTGACTTAATCTTCATTTTTAATGGATGGGAAAGCATGTAATATATGTATTTCGTACCGTAATATTTTGTTTAATATAGTGAAAACTTATGAACTTCAGGTGCACAAATTGAAAGAATTGTATTTATTGTCTATAGGCAAAAATATTTTTTCATTGGCTCGTGAAACTGTGATAAAACTTGCAAGTATTTCATTGGCTGAAGTTTTCGTTGATATAATCCCGGGTTATGTTATAAGGTTGATTTTTTTAAAAATTCTTTCTTGCATTTCTTAGATTTTCAGTTTCTTTGACTCTTTCTTTAAAGTTATAAGTGTCACCACCAGTTTTACTAACAATTTTGGTAATTTTAGGCCTCATACCGAAGATGAGATGGCTCAGAAACTTAAGAAAGAAACGAAAAAGTTATATGATTTCGAGCAAACACTTTTGCGGTATTATCTGAAGTATTTACAACATTTAGAAAGCTACGCTGCTAGTAAGTGAATATTTAGATATATTTCTTTTCATATTTAAATGAAGAATTACCACTGTGAGACACCAAATTTCGATGCTGTGTTTAGCTTTGAGTATTTTTTTCATTTGCAAAGAATTATTTGCAAAGAAGAATAGTATAAAAACTCTTTCAAAAGTACATATGCCATTCTTTTTCGGCATTTTATTATTCGCCAGTTCAAGGAAAGAGAAAGTTATAATTGATGACTGATTAATATTTTGTTGCAAAAAAAGTACTGTCATAGTTGCAGAATTTAATAGATGAAAATTTTTAGAATTATTGAAGGCTTCCAAACAATTGAATTCGTTGCCTATTGTCTGCCTGAAATGCCTTTCACGAGTGCTCCTGTCTGCGCCTCATTTCAATTATGCTTCAAACATAATCAGTTTTATAGTTCGTATAACCAGTTCAAATTTCAATAATGTAAGTTCTTTACGTATTATCGCTTATCTCAGCTTAGAATTTTTTTCCGATCAATATTTGTTACCCATGCAGTTGTTGTAATTAAGTTAATTTATGTAAATGTTGAAAACTATCTTTCCTCTACCTTATTGATAGGTTATCGATATATGTTGTTCTACATTGAGTGAACTGTTTCATAACGATTTAAACTTTCGAATATCTGCTACTGCAGCTAAATATATTACATCTATTGTTAATCAAAAAAAAGGCAACGTACCACCGGCATTGATCGCAACATTCCTGAATTTGAAAATAAAGGTTGGTATTTCGAAGTTGTAGTGTTGAACGAATATAGAATTAAAATTAATTTTAAATCTGTTGAAACTGAAGAATTCAATTGGTTTGAAAAGTGGATTTTAGATCAAGTGAAATTCTGTCAGAGAGTTTGATTCAATGGAATTATGAATGTTATTTCAGGAAGTAAATAAAGGCGGAAAAAGTCAGAAAAAGGAGAAGCTGTTGAGTAAGAAGAGATTATTGAATAAGGAGAAGAAAAGCAAGAGTAAGGAAAGGGTATGATTTTTTGCTGATCACTTCTTCAGACGATTCGTAAATATCAGTGTTTTTGACTTTAAAAAATCACTTAATATATTGATACTCAACTAATATAGCGGTCTTTAATCACGATTTACGTTAAAATGTCCGCTGCTTAGATTCTTGGCGGCTTGAGCAGCTTGATATTAATCGATAAATAGTTATCAGCTTTTCTTCATATTGCTTTAGCATTAAGTGCTTTTGCCTACTTCCGTTGAAGCAAACGGTAACCACTCCATAATGTAAATATTTCAAATTTTTGGAAAATTTCTAAAATTGAACATTTTGCAATTTTGTTGCTGCCTGTGTAATTAGTTTTATGCTTTAGTTCGCCAGACAGTTGAAGAAATTGGAAGCTGATTTGAAAGAAGCTGAAGCAGCTGAATCTATTTCAACAAAACTGTCGTTTGTAAGTTTTCTATGTCTTACAATAATATAATATCATTATTAAATCAGTTTTACATTTTGTTTCATTAGTTTAAAAAAAAACCTTTCCTTTAAGAATTGCTTTTTTTTTGTCTTTCTACACTTTGTATGAAATGGCTTTGTTGCTTTATGTTTGGAGTTCAAGAGGTAGAAGAGCTTTTTAGCAGAAACAGCTGGGAGTAGAGCAGCCAGTAAGAAAGCCATCGCTTAAAAGGCGAATCGATATCAACTTAGTAAAATCAGAATTAATACCTCAGATATGAGTAATTTAGCATAAAATTTAGGCAACTGAAACAATGAATCACGTATTTGCAACATATTTTCGCATCATAAAGCGATTACCCACAACAAGTTTACTAGAACCAGTACTAGAAGGTCTGGCTAAATTCGCACATTTAATTAATGTTGAATTCTTTGACGACATGATATCTTCACTATCCTTGCTCATCAATCAGCAGGTTTTACTATTTTCTTTTGCTTAATTCTAAATTATAGCGACCATAATTATTTAATGGTGAACATCTTTATAAACTTTGACTATTCTGTAGTTACAAACTGATTACGACACTAGTTATCTTTTCGTACATTACACTCTTGGATAAGTTAGTATCTGCAATACATCAATATAACTTTCTATTTAAGAAATCATTCTTATGATGACAGAAAGAATTGTGGTAAATGAGGAGAAACTGTTATGCACTCTAGGAGAATTCGTGATTGAACAATTTGTCAATCGATTAACCATCGTAGCTAAATTTCTGCCAAATTTAATATTGTATTCTTTATGATTCAATATGAAATAATTTACTACTTTAGCATCTTCGACTGGTGGATTCATTGCGATGCATATATACATCATTCGTCATGCTTTCCGGTGAAGGTGTTGCATTAAATATCGATCCATCTCGATTTTATTGGTCGATGTACCATTTACTACCTGCTTTAGCATTCGAAAAACAAGGTTTATATTTTTTGCGTTAATAAGCATTATTAATGTTTTTTTTTTTTTTTGTAAGTACATCTGCTGACTTATTTACTGTCCATTTCGACAATCAGTTATCTGCTTCGTCTTCAAGTAAATTTAATATTTTTATCGTCAGTTATTTTTTGGAGAATCAACAGTAACAGTTTTTCAGATGCACTTGTAAACACATTATCGCTGACGTTACGCACATTAGATCTAATGATTAATTGCCGTCGTAAGCAAGTTCCAGTGTGTCGTGTAGCTGCTTATATCAAACGTTTATTGGCATTAGCGTTTTTTATGCCCTCCTCTGGCATAGTATCTATTTTGCTGTGTATTAGATCTTTTTTCATTGTAAGTTCTCATTATTTTCATCTATTAATATGTTTCCAGCAGTTTTTTGTTTTAAATGTATTTGTTTATTCATAAAAAACGGGTCTTTACTGGAAGAATTTTTATTGCGGGAATCCTTAGAAACTATATCGTCATACACTGTAATGTATCCAGCGTTCAGAGGTTAAGAAGTAGTTAATATTTTTGCAGGTGTAAAATCCCCATTAATTTGCTAATTATTTTTAAATCGAACATGTAGGCTTATCCAAAACTAGACTGCATGCTAGAAAATACGGATGGAAGTTCCTATATCGAATTGTTCAAGCCAGAACTTGATGATCCGGATTGTTGTGGTGGACTTTCCTCGTCAATAATCGCCGAAATAAGCATCTTCTCCAAGGCATTTTTTCATTTTTTATTCAATTTTACACAAAAAATATTCTGAAGAAATTGTGGTGAAATCGATCTAGTTTTGCTATCTGTTAACAATATTTTGCAAGTTGAAATTTTGATTCTTTTGTTTTATAAATGTAACCGATAGTTTTTTTAGAATAAAGAATGCTTGATGAAATAGGTAGTTTTATTTTCTGTGTTTTCTGACAAAGAAATGATGTTCATGATAGCTTTTCTATTAATGTTATATATTTATAGCATTCTGATAAAAGAATTGGAATGATAGCACTATATCTTCAGTCTGGCTTACCATCTACAGGGCCAAATCGTCTGTTGCCAGAATATTCAGTGAAGTTAGTTGAAAATTGAAAGAAAGAGCTGTTAGAGATTGATTTACTTTGTGTCATTTTTCACTCTTGTTGAAATGAGAATTAAATTGTTAGGATATTTCTTCTACTTCAGTAGTTTTTAAAAAAGTTCTTTGCATAATTTTTAAGGAAAGCATACGAATGGTATGAGGAAAACAAGCATACTGGAGAAATTGGTGAAGAACCTTTTTTTAAGAGACATATCATTGCTTTCTCAAAGGTTTTTTTTTGTTAGTATTAAGGAAATGTTAGAATCCTGGCATTTTTTGAATTTTTGACTTTCCACGAAAAAAACGCTATTTTTCATCTATATTTTTCAAGGAAAATGAATATCATTTTTTTTTCAGAAGCATAAATTGCAACTGACATCGAAGACGCTCCATCAGTTGGTATGTAGATGGGTTGAACAGGATATAGAAAGCAAGTCATAAGTACATCATATATGTTATTATTAATATGTTCTGAAATTGTAACATTTTGTTAAGTTTGATAAATAGAATTTTTCCTTGTTCACGTGACATCTTATGGTTATAAATTCAGCCAGGACTTCAATGTTTTTATTAAGTTTGATGGAAAATAACCATAAAAAAGGTTTTTCTTATGATATAATGATATTCACGATTTAAATGCAAAATGCTGGACATCTTTCACCAAAAAAAAAAAAAAACAGTTTCAACGTTCTGCAAATTAATCAGTGGAAATTAATAGATTATAAATTTTTCACGGGATAAAATGGATTAAAATTTAATTTCCTTTTATTCAGAAAATGAATATATTTTTCTTTATTCTCCATGTAAAATGCAGCAATGAACAACTTCAGATCAGTAACTGTTTGAGTGATGGATCATTAATTTAAAGATTATTTATTTGTACCTATCAACGTGATTGTCGAAATGCGATACAGGTCACATTACCTTTCATAGCTTCGCAATACAAATTAGAACTGTACACATAGGAGAAATGACCTTTCGAGCAAATCACATCAATACTGCCAGCAAATTTGGCTTCTGCTCGATCATTTATAGCACGTTTCGAAGCTGATGAATTCTCACTAATGTTCTAAATTTTTTGATTATCAAAGTTTGAAATTTAATGTTTTGATTTGGAAAATTGTCAAAATTTTCCCATCCGGAAAATTATACACTGCCTTTTTTCCGACCAACAATTCAGTATTATTCCAGATTATTTTCTCAATTTGATTAATCCTGGAAGAAATAGAATTAATTTTATTGTGAATATTCCATAAAACATTTGTTGATAATACCTCGAGCATAAGTTTTCTTAATTCCTCACTGTTACATTTATTGTCCATTTTGGTCTCGGAACGATTTTTAATTATTTTCGATAATTTTGACTGATTCTTATCAATGATATGTTTAGCAGAAATTCCTTGGCGTGTTATTTGGTTCATTGCGACATCTTCTTGTGGCAGTGTTATCAAGTCTAAATCATCCTCCTAAAAATAGAATTGAAAGAAATAAAAAGTTAACATTTGCCACCGCAGAAGCGTGTGTGATTTTTGGGCAGGTCCATTATGCCCTTGCTACCTTATCGTTTTAGAGATGTTCTAGGCAGCAGAAGGAAAGATACAGTCAGTGAATTTTTGATCAAAAAATCAAAAATGTAATATCCAGCTGAATTTTTGAACAAAAAAAAAATCAAAAATATAATACACAGAAGTTAAAGATTAAAAATTGACCTCCATTGTATTATATATGTGGGCTTTCCTAAATATTACTTTTTGCTGAATTCTAAAATTATTTATCCCATAGTAAAATGCTATAACGTGTAAGAATAAAGTAGGATTAAATTATTGTTAAAAAATATGAAATAAATTGGATATACTTTAGATAACCGGATCGGATTCTGTTGACATATAATATATGGAAGTATTAAATTTGTTGTGTTGTTTGTGATTATGTGCGCTTTATCAGAAATATCGAAATCGAATGACCGAATTTAATACTTTCAAAATTACATGTCAATAAAACCAACATTATCCCGTGAATTATTCATTTAATTATCATTTTTTCGTGGTACGTTTTCAGTATGAATGTATGCCAGAAATAGTTTGGTTGTGTTAATTAATTTACTATCAAACGATATTTATCTTCCCGACCCACTTGGTATATATATACCTATATATTTTGCGGTTATCTTTTATATCTCTATCAACTGTCACTTCTACATCAAACTGACCACTAATTTTTCTTGTATTTATGTGACATATTATTCATCAAATGAGTATAAAAATCATTCCGGAATATCCGAGAAAAAAAAGATTTCGTTGATATAGTTACCAGCATTATTCGTTTAGTGATAGATGTAATTTTTGTACAATTATCTCAGTGTACAATAAAGTAAAATTACCAATTATCACTTAAACCATTAATCAATGATTCATTTATAGTCATTATTATGATTTCGAGAAGATATTAGATAATAAAGGCTATGATTAAGATCAATCGGAGGATGTATTACTGTATTCAATGACTATTAAATTAGACTAATTTACAATTTATACCTTAATCTGATACCGAGAGTGAATAATGGATGAAATGTTCCAAATCATCTATTATGCTTATTTTAAACAAACATTATTTAATGAAACAAAAAAAAATCTGGTCATTTGTTATATTTAATATGAAGTCTGATCATGTGATCATTTGGTTGTTAGTAATTGAACTCTGATCAATTGCTAATAATTTAATTTTATATGGAAAATGACTAATACCGGTGAGCCTTTCATTGTGGAACGCTTTAAAATACGCGGTCGCGTATGACCTTCCACGTATGCTATCGATACTTCTTCATTTGAAATTTGTTTCTTCTAAAATACATAAATAAATAAGTCACTTATTTCTTCTTTATTTTTCTTAATGATCAAAAATGATTGAAATTGAATGAATAATAATAAAATAAATAATTAAAATTATGGAAAAAAAAGCTTATTAAAGTAGTTCATTTCAAAAGTTGATCAACTGATGATTGGTTAATGCAAAAAAAAAGAATATGATTCAAGTTTTCCTGAAAAATAACAAAAAAAAATTTGAAAAAATAAAGAATGTAAGACACAAATAAATATACAGAACCAAAAATTAAAAAAAAAAAGCTTAAAAGCAATAGAAAAATTAAACTTTACCAATTTTAATTTGCCAAGTCTGATTTTTTTATCAATCCTTTGATCGACACTATCAGATGATGACCTGTTGGAACAAAGTACTGATGATGAACATGATGATGATGGTTGACAGCTACAGTTTGATTTTAAATTGCTTAATGAAATCGCAGTTACTGGTATAAGAAACAATATGAAATGAAGCAACATTGTAGTAGTACAAAATAATGTATCACTTGAAAGAATCTAAAATCTTTTTACAGTATTACTGTACTTTTATGCGATAGCATTACCGCAGTATTACTGTAATATTACTGTATACGATTATATAACTTATATTTTTCTTATGCTTCATTGTAAAATATTTTTTTTTAATACTTCATTATAAACTTCTTAACAAAATATAATACAGCGGTAGTTTTCTTATGTTATAAGTTTATTTCTAATAGTATCAAAATTTCAAAATAATTGTAATTGTAGTCAAATGAAAAAATTATTATTTT